AAGTTTCAGGCACTGATAGTGCCTTCTGTTGACTAAAACCTAGTCACAGCAGCAGGTTATTGGGAATATTTTAATGACATTCCCAATGAAATCCATTTATGGGTAAAACAGGAAGGAACATAAAACGCAAATGTTATGGCAAAGAAATGAAAACCTGGGTGCCCAAATGCAGCATCATTATGAGAACAGCTTTTGCTTTTAACATTCTGAAGACAGCCTATCTGACCATTGAGAATCTTTACATTAGTAAACATTTTTATCTTTTTCTTCTTCTTCAAGATTGTTTCTCCTTTTGGATAGGCTTCTCAAATTACCACTTGAATGCTTATATCTGAACAAAAATATAGTTATTGCATTATGGTAGTTTTATGCAGTGAAACCAGAAATATTTATTTTACTGGCCCACTTTTATCACTTCACACCATTAATAATATTAAATAAACAGCAGTCGCACTAAATGCTGTGGATACCAGAGGCAGGTAGGTGGGGTGGAGACAAGGTGGGTAAATGATTAACATACTTGCATAAGACATTCTGACATAAGAACATAAACATGGAATTTGTAGGATGACATTGCATGCTTGTTAATTTTTTTAATGCTATCACGAATTGTTACTGACACTGCTAACTGCATTTATTTATTTTAAGTGCAACATTCTAATGGCAATCCACCTGCCATCAACGTTATTACCAATATGCACTATTTCAGCGTTATTTGATGGCTATGTTCTTGTTACGCCACATGTTCACATTTGGAGAAGGAATGGGGCATGCTATTTGGAGAATGGAGTCTTCTGAAGCACCATAAGAATGGGACTCCTGCCGTTCTCCAAATAGGGCGCCTGTACTCATGAGACCTGGGGAAGACCAGATGGTTTCCAAAGTATTGCAAGAATGGGGTGGGCAATTTGGAGAAAGAATGATGCAAGCAGCTTGGAGAACAACACATGAGGCCTTGGGAAGAAGGCCTGGCATGGCCAGCAGCTGCCTCGCATACAGTAGCGTCAGACCAGGTGCACCTCATCAGCAGCAGCAGGAGACCAGCGAAGGTCAGCTGGGCACAGAAGAGCCTGTGAAACGCAGGGTGGCTGGGACAACTGGGGCTTTGCGCAATGGTGCTGGAGTGGCTGGCTGCGGTGTGGGACTTGAGGCAGTATTTCTCAGTGGCAGTAGCGACTCTTAGGCTGAAATAGAGGTTTGGGGGTGGTGGCAGCCGGCCTCTGAGACTGAAGGCCCCAGGCCTCTACTTCACCCCAGTCCCGGTGCTGCTGCCAATGAGTGCTGCTGTGCAGGGCAGCCAAAAGGGCACAGACCGGAGAGGGAGATAGGTGGGTGGAGGGAGCTGCAGCACCCTTGCAGTCGAAAGTGGGGATGGGCTGCCAAGTGCCTGAATTTTGATCATATGACTGCAAGGGTGTTGCAATGGCCATAACTTCGGGCAGAGGTTATAAGTCCATTTTTTCAGCACTGTTGTAATTTCAAACGGTTGCTGAACGAATGAATGGTCATAAGTCGAGGACTACCTTTATGGCAAACTAGATGCTCATTAAATCTAGTTTATAGCACAGGTCATAATCTGAAGAATTTTGAGTGCTGCTGCACAGAACCTGGCAACAGTGAATGCTGTAGCAGGGTTGGTATCTGAAAGCAACAGGGTGGTATAAAATTGTTCTGGGCATCCTGGGTATTTATGCAGTAATGATGAGATGAGGCTAGTACAAATGTCTCTGTAGTACAGACACTGGAGAAGCACATGCTCTTTGTTCCTCTGTGTCCAGAGTGACAGGGGCATTATCTCTCTGGGTAAGGAATCTTTCCGTAGTGGCCTTCAAGGGGAGGAGAGGGCATGACATCATGCTACAGTAAAGGCCCTCCTGTGTTTAGGTACTTTGAGTTTAGTTAGGTATGCCATAGGGGAGGCAGAGTACCTGCTCGATTCATTGGTGTAAAGGTTGGGGTCCTGGCTAGAACCAATAGGTGTTCTGTGTCTGCTACATGCTGTCTAATAAGTGCTTTGGCTTGATCATATCCCATGCTGAGTAGAAGACTTGGAGAGAAGCCCAAGAATAAGATTTTAGTTGTCACTGCTTGTTTCCATGTGGATTGAAAATCATCATTCATAGTTAATGGGGCAAGGCCAAGGGGAATAAAAGACAGTCTGAGCCAATAGTTGAGTATGATCACCCGCACTCTAGTCTCCTCTTTCATGAAGCCTATGTCTAGTTGCAGGGTGACATTAGAGATACAATTAGGGCTGATTGCAGACATGGCAGAGCACAGGGTAACTTAATGTTATTGTTTAAAGAAAGGTTTTTCTTATAAGCAATAAATGCTTCTGAAAGTTAACTGATCTTATTCAACTTGCTATTTTCTGCCACACTAATTGTTTAGAAAACTAGAAAAATACAGGCATATTTGGGGTTAGGGGCAGAATTACCAGAAGGTGTTTGTTTTTGTTATAAAAGCATAACTGATCCTTCCTTTGTACTTATTTGAAGTACTACTGAAAAACATAGCAGTGCCAATTAGCAGCAACAAAAGCTGGTTATAATACAGAAACATTAAGTGTGGCAGACACATTGAGCTCCTGAGCAGCAACTTTCAATTTCAATTTAATTTGTGCAAGAGAGATTCACCTGGGTTATTGGAAGGAAATCGTTATTTGGATTATCTAATTTAGGTATTAGGTAGCATCAAATTGAAATCAGTTTTGGGAACAACTCTAAATTGGCATTTATAACTATAAATTGGTATATGCAAATATAAGGGAAACATTTGTCCTGTTGGTCTAAGGCCAGATCTTTTAAGCATCCAGCAACACTGGAGATGCTATTAAAAAAAAAAAAAAACTACAATTATTTTAATACTGAAGTAGCTGTCACAATCTCTGCAGATATTTTATTTTCAGAGATGGAAAATATAACAGGGCTGTTCCTAGTCATAAACAGTCACATTACAGTAAGGGGAAGGGTCTGCTCATTTGGATTAAACATGTTTTTCAGGTTTTTAAAGTATTAAAAGCCTGCAAATCTTGTTTGCTCAACAACACTGTGGAACAGAAAAACCCGTGTTTTTCTTGGGCGATGCCAAATCTATCATATTGTTCTCGTAACAGCAAAAGAACATTGCTTTACTTTAAAGTGTTACTCAGTCTATACCTCTGAAAGGAACAAGGTGGGTGATAATGTAAGCAATATTTAAAATAACCATAAAATACCCAAAGGAAAAATGATATGAATTAAAATAGTGCCAATCATAAAAGTCCAAATACACACAAAGACTATTTTACATCCCACCTGGAACAATACTGTACAGTGGCTAATCATTTTCTAAGAACCAGCAACTGTGACTCCTAAACAAGTTTTAAGGCTAAATATGTTGTTATTGTGTTTTATTCATTAAACCATGGATATATTCATGTTAGCTTAACACAGTGTTCAAACTCAACTAATACTGGTGCTTATCAAATCTTAGTTAGCAGAGCATTTCACCAAAAAGCCTCTACAGTTCTCTGTTCATGAGGCCAAATGACCTGAAGCAATGCCGCAAGTGATGAGAAAGCACGTGATGAGTAAAAACATGAAGATGTTCTTGATCACTGACTGTTAAGAGGTATATCTCAATTTCATAATTGCACAATCAATCAATATGTTTTCCCTGAAATTTTTGATGTAAAAGTCATTGGAAGACAGTACCATTTACTTAACCATGAAGATCAAAGCAAATATCTCCTTTAACATTTTTTTAAAAAAAATATGCTTCTTTATTATGCACAAAGCTATTTAACATCCCATTGGAGTTACTCTGACAGATTATGCTGTTTCATGTCTCCTACACGAAAGCCATAATTTAAGACTGAGAAGCCACATTTTTATGCCCGATTTCAAAGACTTCAACACTATTTTCAAACTCCTTTATTCTCAGACAAAACACATAATTTACCTGATTATGACAATTCATGACTCATTCCTTTTATCTGTATTTTCAGCTAATCAAACCCCTTCAAGTCATCACCCTA